ACGAGTGGCTGAGGCAGGAGGATTCTGAGTTCAAAGCCAGCCTTAGCAACTTAGTGAGACCCTGTCTCAAAGTAAAAAATAAAGGGGCTGAGGATGTTGTTCAGTAGTTAAGCACTCCTGGGCTCAATCCTTGGTGCAAAAAAAAAAAAAAAAAACACTTGATTTGATTTCCAAATATTTGGGAGGGAGTATTTCTAAATACTTTATCCATACTAATATCAGTTTGATTTAATGTGGTTGTAGAATATAATTTCTTATTTTTGCCATGTATTTGGCCCAGAATTTAATATATCTTGGGAAAAACTCTAATGTGAATTTTGAGAATATGTGCTCTTCAGTTTGAGGTATAGAAGTGTCATTATGATTGGCATAGTTCTCCAAATCTTCTAAACCATTACTGATGTTTTTTCCTTCTTGTCCTATCAATTACTGAGAGATCATTAAAATCACCAATGAAAGACTAAGAGTTAGCCTATTCCTTTCCATAATTATATTAATTTTTGCTGTATAAATTATGAAGCTGTGCTCTTAGAAGTATAAACATTTAGGGTTCTTATGTCTTATGATAAATGTACTCTTTTAAAAATCACTATGATATGTTAATTTTGGTAACATTCTTCATTTTAAAGTCTACTGTTTTTGGTATCTATATCAACCTTCTTTTTAAAATCTAAATATCATTAATATTAGTAGGATTCGGCATGATATTTCAACACATGCATAAGACAGTCACTGATCAACTAACTAAGGTTATTAGCATTTCCAACTCCCCAACTCCTTAACATATTATATTTGGAGACTTTGAGCTCCTTTCTTCCAGATCTTTATAAAATGCTCCCTAGGTTCTTATGAACTATAGTCATTATACTGATGGGTAACACCAGAACTATTTCTTCTTTCTACTTGGGTTTTGGTGCTTATTATCCAATCTTCCTTTATCTACCTTCTCCCTCTACCCTTCTCAACTTATAGTTATCACTATTTCACATTCAGATAGACTTTTTTAAAACATGTTCGAGAGAACATGTGGTATTTATCATTCTGTGTGGTTTATTTCACTTAGCATGTCCTCCAGTTTCATCCATTTTACAGAAAATGACAGGATTTCATTCTTATTTATGGCTGAATGTTGTGTATATTTACCAAATTTTCTTCATCCATTCATCCATTGATGGGCACCTAGGTTGATTCCATATCTTTGCTGCCATGAATTGTGCTGCAAAAAACATGGAAGTCTCTTTGGTATTCTGATTTCATTTTCTTTGGCTGTATACCCAGAAGTAGGATATCTGTTAAATCTATTTTTAGTTTTTTGAGAAACCTCCATACTGTTCTAACAGCTTTGCTAATTTACATTCCCCAACAGTGTATAAGAGTCCCTTTTTTTCCACATCATTGTTAGCATTTTTATTACTATTATTATCATTGTGATGATAGCCATTCTGACTGGTGTGAGATAAGATATCACATTGCAGTTGTAATTTTCTCAGTTTTCTTATTCTTAGTAATTTACATGCTGCATCTTTCCCCTTTTATTTTCAACCTGTCTATTTTTTAATAGTCATACATAAATTTGAAATTCATTGCYAGTTACTCTTCTTGAGGGGATTATATCAAGAATTTTTTTTAATTCAAAAAATATTTAGCAATCTGAAATCCCAGAAAACAACTGAATCAATAAATGGTACATTTCTCAAAAGAAGAAATTCAAATGGTCAACAAATACAAAGAAGGAGGAGAAAACATAGATAAAAGAAGCAAAATATATAAAAAGAGAGGGAGAAAGTGGGAAAAAGAGAATTTGAATATTAGAGGGAGAAGAAGAGAAAGAATAACAAAAGAAATAAAAACAAAAAACCCCACAAAACCCCTTAATCCTCAAAAGGCCAAACAAAGCAAAAAAGCAAATAAATACTTAAAAAGAAAAAATGAAAAGAAGAAACAAATGTGTGTGTGTGTGTGTGTATCCAAGCAGCAAATTAAGCAAGACCCCCCCCCCCCCCCTCTCTCTCTCTCTCTCTCTCTCTCTCTCTCTCTCTCTCTCTCTCTCCCTCTCCCTCTCCCTCTCCCTCTCCCTCTCTGAAACATGAAAATAATGTGGAAAAAATTATTTCTGCTGAGGTGGTCAAAACTGTCTGTAAGGATGGATGTGTACTTCCTATGCTAGACTGCCTTCTTTCCATTTCTCCTTGGGCTACACACCCCAAGGGCTGGCGATGGTCAAACCCTTCCTCTTTCTGTGTTGCTCACTGAGCTGCCAGCTGGAGTAGTCTGGAACTGCAGTGGGCTAAATAGCTCTGGGCTTTCCATCTCACCTGCATAAGGAGAGATGGAATGGGATTAATGCAKTTGGAATTTTGTATGGCAGWCTGTATTGATGTACTTAYTCCCAGGGTGGGGCTGAAGCAGAATTCTAAATGAGAAATTCTGGTGGCTAGACTTTTAACATTTAGAATCTAAAATTCTAAAATTCTTTAGAATTTTGTCAGATGGCATCTGCTTTGGAGAGATGAGATCAACACACCCCTAGGGCCAGGCAGATGCTGATCTCTGTTGGGTGTTTTGAGTTTCAGGGGCCTCCCAATAATTCTACTCATAGGGCTGGTTGACCCACCCTCCACAAGTCCCACATACTCTACCACCCACAAATATGGCCTTCCCAGGCTCATCCCCAAGTGAAATTAGGCATGCCCATTTAGTTTCCCTAACCCTCTTCAGCCGGTCACAGGAGCCACAGACTCAAAGAGAAAGCAAGCTGCCCTTTCCTTTGTGTTTCTGACTTGTATCCCCAGGATACAGTCTTTATGCCTATTTCAATCACATTCTACCAGGTGTAGCTCAGCCACATGGCAGGTGCTAGCTGGAACAGTATGGTAGTATTTACTGTGATCTCCTGGGATACCACAGCAGCAATCTGCAGCGTGGCATCTTCTAGATGGCTCCTGCCTCAGCTCTCTGCTTGCCCGTTGAGAAACATAGAGAACTTTTCAAGCATCAGCTCGTTGTGTAGCCTCTGGTATAGCTCAGATTTATTTTTTGTTCTACAGGTTTTCCTGGGCCAAATTTGTCCACTGTGTTTCTTTCTATTTGTTTCCTCTCCCCTCTGCTGGAAACTGGTGCTTCTGGGTTGACTCCAGTGTATTCTTTCTTGTCTTCAATTCAAAGCACCTGAATTTCTGGGTCTCTGAGTCTCTGACGGTCCAATTTTGCATTTCTGTTAATTCCTTCTTGTCACCCATCTTGCTGAGAAGCAGTACTCCCACTGTTTGAATCCTGAGTCACCGAGAAGCTGCAAGGTATAGCCTTCCTCTAGTTGGCCATCTTTGACCCCTGTTTGCRTGAAATGTTTTACTATATATTAGACCTTGGTACAAGATACATTGAAGAGACTCTTAATTCTACAATTCTCCCATAATGAATGTGAAGTTTGGTACTAGCAAGTGGTTAGGTTTTGATGGTTCACTTGGAACAAAAACTACGTCAGGGGAGCTGGGGTTGTGGCTCAGTGATAGAGCACTTGCCTAGCATGTGTGAGGCACTGGGTTTGAGCCTTAGCACCACATGAAAATAAATAAAATAAAGGTATTGTGTCCATTTACAACTAATTTTTTTTCAAAACTACAGTAGGGAGATCTAGTTCAGCATTTCTCTTAGTTCTAGGGCAGATATCTTGGTCCTGAGGAATGGTCTTCACTCTTAAGGCCTGGTATTGATGAAATTTCAATAGAAACCTAAGGTGTTGACCTAGCCTTTCCAACTTGGTAGAATTTGGACTCCAGATACTGTCTCTCCCCTGTGGTGTGTGGCAGCTGACATTTCTACTCAAGTCCTTTTGTTGTCCAGTGTTGTTTTGTCCCTGGATTATTTTGGGCTTCCCTGTATATATAACTAAGAAATCAAGCAAAGATTGGAGGGAAGTTTACATGCAGATTTGGGGCCTTCCGCTTTCAGTCTCCCCCCCTCTTTTATTTAATTTTTTTCTCCTTCAGTTTCCAGCTTTTCTAGCAGCTGCAAACTCTTCCCTCTGAGTCCTCAGACAAATGCAARTATAGTTTCCTGCTTAAGTTCCAGCTGCCCAGAGCCATACAGACTTCTCTGAAGGGAAAAGCCATTTAAATATGAATCTTGTGCATTATGATTCCCTCTTTCAAGGATCAAATAGCCTACCATTTGTTCCTGATTTTGGTCATCTTCCAATGCCTTTAAATAATTGTTTTAAATATTTTGTTAATAGTTTATAATTGTTATCTGAAGGAGAGTAAGTCTAATACAAGCTACTGTGTCCCTACTAGAATCGGAACTCTATCCAAAGGGTTTTAAGCAGGAGAGTGACATGACCAGGCCTATCTTAAGAATGTCATTCTAGGAGGTGTAAGTGACCTACAATAGGGGACAAGAATGGAGGTATGAAGACAAAATAAGACTACTACCAGAGTCCAGTGGGAAGATGATAATTGCTTAGACTAGATGATAGCAAATACTGGTAATGACAAGCAGTGGATAAGTTTAAGATGCAATTTTTGGCAAGAATTGGTGATGACTGAGTGGGGAGGGGGTGAGAAAAATAGAGGAGTGAAGGATGACTTCCGTGTTTCCAGTTTGAGCAACTATTTCATGACACCATCTTCCAAGATAAGAAAGACTGGAAAGGGATGATATATGGAACAAAAATTAAGTTTAACTTTGGAAATAAGTCTTGGGATGATAATAAGATAAACAACCATCCAGTAAACAACTGAATATGTAAGTCTGAAGTTCAGGGGAGAGGTCTAATTTAATAGGTCAGACTGCTATAATTTGAGCAAAATATACTTAAATAAAGGGAAGAAATGCTGTCTGGGGGACTGAGAACTGATAAAAGCTAGTTAGAGTTGGATGTTGACTTTCAGAACTCCGGGTGGAATTGCTGAATAGGAAATGAAGGGTCAGCCATGCAAGTCTAATTGTAGTTGGGATGTTCTGGGGAGATCAACTGTGTCTGCTTTCTTCCATGGATATAGGGTTACAGGGAAGAGAAGACTCAAGGAGAATGCTGTGGAAAGTGTTTGCCTACAGCTTGCACCATTCAGCTAAGAGGAGGACAGATCATGACGCTGAAGGTAGGAGCAAACTGGATTCAGGGGCCCTGTAATGTCACCATCTGGTCCCCTCTCATCACCATCTGGGGCTCTTTTCTATTTGGGGCTCTTTTCTTTAAGAAAGAGGGACTAATTGGGGCTTAATATTGGCTTCTTTTTCTATTTATTTCTCATTCTATAAAGAAAAGATAGATGACCTGTAGGAGGCACGGAATTTTTTTTTTTTATTTAACTATCTTGCTGCTCTGCTTGGCAAGAATGCAGTTGGCATATAGYCTCATGAATTGAAATTGATGGATCTTTAAGATTTTCATTTTTTAAGGATTTTTTATTGGTTCTTCTTTTTAGTTATACATGACAATAGAATCCATTTGACATAACTATATAAGCATGGAATACATCTTATTCTAATTCAAACCCCAGTACCTCTCCATTGCTTTCCCTCTCCCCAGCCCCTGCTCCCTTCTGTCTGAGTTGATGGGTCTGTAAGATTTTCTATAGCCTGGAGAGACTGTGAGATCAGACAGTCAATCAGGGGGAATCAACTCTGATCTATGAAAGCTAGAATTAGCAGGTGGGGCTGAGGGTTGATGCTCCTGGCTAATCTCTTGTTCCTTTATCAGTTAGCCAGCTTACTCTTGCTCTGTCTCCATTCTTGAACCACTTGCATGGTCAGAATAGAATCCTCCACTTTATGCATCCCTGTTTATAGAAAACAAGTTGTAAAACCAAACTCCATTTCTATTCTGTATCCAGAGTGTGGGAATTTTACGTCCATTGTCTTATCCTTCCATAGTTCTCCAAATTGCTTCAGCAACCCCAAGTGAAGACCCTGGTTTGGAGTGACTTTTTAACCCAAAACACTGTCTTTGAATTTGTTTTGCCCTCTCCTCTGCTTTCCTTTCAGCATGACGAGACACTCCAGGATGGCTGTGATAGTCACTTCTGCAAGGTCAACGARAGAGGAGAGTACATCTGGGAGAAGAGGGTCACGGGCTGCCCACCCTTTGATGAACACAAGTGTCTGGCTGAGGGAGTGAGTAATTGCAGCTCAGACCCTGCTTTTGTCTTGACTATCTCAATCTTTGACTCTAAGAATAGTGTCCTCTTGAACAGCATGCAGCCCAGTTCTTATTCCCATCATCCAAGGCAGACCTCTGACCTAGTTTAAGAATTGATGAAATTACAGAATTAAAGCCTGATGGAGAGGAAAAGTTCTCTGCAGTATAGGATTTTTTTTAAAGTCTGTCACTTGAGGAAAGTTGAATCTGTGATTCTTGAATAGGAAGGTGAGAGATCAAACCAATTTTGTTTCCTTGGGAAGGATCTTCCTGAAGACTCAGTTGGAAGAAAATTCAAAATAATTAAAATAGTTCCTTTTTGGTCAGGTAGGGTGGCTACGGGCTCACATGTGTGATGGGAAAGATGTGAGTTCAGAGCTAGGAAMTGATCTGCAGTGACTGGAAAATTGTCCACTATGAACTATTTGTGTCTAATCTATGACTCTGCTGTTTCCTTAGGGGAAAATTATAAAAATTCCAGGCACCTGCTGTGACACATGTGAGTACATTCCTGGAAGTTTGTCCTTTGGAACCCATTATACCAAGTCCAGGCACTGTTCTTTGCAGCAAGCTTTATTCCAGAAAGATATTTCTTGGTTACCAGCCAATCATTGCGTACAACTCTGCAGGGAACAGCCTCATCTCCCTGAGTGTTATTGGACTGCCCCTTGTTCAAGTCTCTTTTCAAATACCTGTGGAGTAATCTCTTCTCACCTTTCCTCCAAACTCCTTACTGTCTCTAGCCACTTRTGCCTTTGCTACTAGAACTAACCACGAGAGAATATCTTCTCTCTCCAACAAGCTCCATGAAGACAGGCACTCTTGATCCATGATCTTGACAGAGCAGATAGTTCATACACACCTTATTCATTGCATGCGATGCTGTCTTGGAGAGAAAGGGAAGCCACTGGATGACTAATGATAGTCCATTGCATGTTGCAGGGGCCGTAGGCAACATAGTGTCTGCTCTCAAAGATTTATGAGGCTGGTCTAGGTCTATTACCCCCTTTTCTTCATTCATGTTTCCTGTTGACCTTGCAGTCAAGTAGGAGCAAACTGGATTCAAGGGCCCTGTCATGTCACACTCTTTGACTCTAATCACTCATAGAGCATAGCAGCAGTTTTGGAGATACACATCAGACAGTTTAATTCCCACACATTCTTGTGTTCATGAAAACAAGTAGCTTAGAATTACTTGTCTGGACTAATATCTTTTATTTTTTATTTTTAGTTTTGTTTTGAATTCATAGACCCTGCTTACTTTCAGGCAGAGATAAGCAGAGTGAAAATGTGAATCCCTTCAGTATTCAATCATTCCTTCCTTTCTTGATGGCTTACTCTGATAGCCCCTGTAATTGCTGTAACCAATTTTCAGAGTATAAGACACTCTGAAAGCATTTCTTTCTACAATTCCCTTCTGAATGGTTTAAGAAGTGAAGTCAGGAAATCATCGGAGGAGATGAATTCTCTATATTGCACATGGAATTTGGTTAGGAGGCTGTTATTTACAAAACCAGTAACAAGGAGCTCTTGTTGGTTGATGTGTTCAGGAGGCTGAACAAGCCATGTTCAGGGATTTATATCCACAAAAAATTACATGTTTACCCAGATATGTTTTCCTTATTCATCCTCTTCATGTCATTGGCAGCCTTAGCCTTTAGAATGAAATTATTGGGAAGTTGGGAAGCAGGTTAACATATAGTTAGGGTTGACTTAGATTTGGAGCTGTCCCGGAATGGAAACCTCCCATTGTCCCAATGGTAATAATGAGCTGGCATTAACTCTTAGAATCCTTAGTGGGCCACGCAGAGTTTCAGTTTGAAGACCACTAAACCTTGCATGTAAGAGAACCCACGGGGGCAACCTGAAGATAGCAGTACCCCAAAAGAGGACTGACTCTATGAAGGCTCCTTGGGATTTTCTTAGCTGCCATAGAGTCAGTGAGTCCCTTAAGTGGCCTGACATTTGCCTTTCCTCTGACCCAAAGGCAGGGATGGATTTAATATCAAAACATCAATTAATATCATTTTATTTATTGGCTACTTCATTGCCCATTAGCATGTGAATGTAATTATAGCCTGAGAGTACTGCTCCAGCCATTATGTTTTTTAAAGTCTACAATTATATTAAAGTGAGTCTCATCCATCTACACCACTGAATTACAGCATATCTAGGCTCCTTCTGAAATTAAATTTTACAATTAAATGAATTAAATCCAGCAGTAACTGTATTTCTGAATTTAAAGGGTCAGGAACAGCAGAAGTGTATCAGGATAACTTAATTCTCCTTCCTGCAGCTGGATTTGGTTATCTGTTGACTGTGAAATGGGCCTATCTCCAGCTCATTGAGGGTACTGGGGCTGAAGAATGTTCAGAACCCCAGCCAGCCCCCAAGCTCTATCTCTCACCTGTTTTACAGGTGAGGAGCCTGACTGCAAAGAGATCACTGCCAGGGTGCAGTATGTCAAAGTGGGAGACTGTAAGTCCCAAGAGGAAGTGGACATTCATTACTGCCAGGTAAGGCTCTCTGACTTCAGTGAGGCCTGGGTGGTGAGGGCTGAGTCTCCTTGTTTGAACCAGGACAAGGACATGTCTCTTCAGTTACATACTAGAAGGATCTGGAAGAATCACAAGGAGAGGGGAAAGGAACTTGAAGTGTTTTTTAAGTAAATGTTTTATTATATAACTAGGAACTTTTGACCATAGAAGAAAGGCCCAATAAATTCTTTAAAGAGAATGAAGAGCTTTTTTAAATGGAAGATTTGGGCTACATTTCCTAAAGAACATTCAAAGGTGCATAAACATTGAAGCTAGAGGGATTTGGGTGTGCACATAGGATAGAGGAAATATCAGACTTCCCTGAGATCTACCTTTAAAAATTGCCTAGCTGTCCTGGGTGTGCCTGGGTGAGGCACGACCTGCCTTGCTTGGAGGAATAAGGGGAAGACATAGGCTGTCCCTAGTCCTGCTACCCCAGACTTCTCCAGCYTCCTGATGTCCTGCCTCTCTGCTCCATTTCAGGGCAAATGTGCCAGCAAGGCTGTGTACTCCATCGACACAGAGGATGTACAGGACCAGTGCTCCTGCTGCTCACCCACACAGACAGAGCCCATGCATGTGCCCCTGCTCTGCACCAATGGCTCTGTTGTGTACCATGACATCCTCAATGCCAGGCAGTGCAGGTGTTCCCCCCGGAAGTGCAGCAAGTGAGGCTTGCTACAACTGCCATGGATGCCTGCTGCTGCCCTCCTTGGCCCGGCCAGCCAAAGTGCTGCCCGGTCGTCTGTACTACTGCTCTGGTTCCCACAATAAAAGTCAAGCTCTCATCTTGCATAGGCTGGCGGTGCACTGTTTGTAATCCCGAGATGGCAACTATAGGATAGGACTGAGTTCTGAGACTCGTTCTGAGGGAGAAAGCAGAGGCCCCAAGTTCAAACACTGCAGATCCGATGTCCATGGRAGGGAATGAGTAGTGTCTCTACCTCCATGGGCTGGGGAGGGCACAGTGTGGGGCAGGCCACTTTTGAAACTCAACCCAGTGGCCTGAAGTAGAACGGATTTGCTTAGAAACATTGAGTTCTCAACTCTATGAGTTGAGGGACTTCTGGGTATAGCAGAGGGGTGGATCCTGGGACCAGGATTCTGCCAAGATAGATATGGGCAATTGTCAGTGTGGCTGGCATTGTGGAGGTGTTTGACCAGGTGTGACATGAATTCCTGCATGTCCTTATTGATCTGTGGAAGAGAGCTGCTGAGGACCAAGGCCACGTGAAATCTGGGTGCTGACAGGTATGGGAGCATGGTCCTACCATGCTCAGCCATGGCAGATGAGTCCCAGACTTGGGGGCACACCTGGGCTCCACACAGGGCCCTTGCTCGTCTATGTGGTCCTTAATGGTGCTCATTAATGGTTTCCTCATTTGGAAAACCGAAGTGGTGGTCTCACTCATGGGCTTGTGGGGATAAATAAACTSCCTAAAATAAAGCCTGGAAGTCCTTAGGTAATTGTGCATTGTTCTAATGTAAGAAGGGACAAGAATAAAAGTAGAGAAATCAAGTCCCAAAGTGGGAATAAGTGACTCTAAGATTAATAACAGAACATTAGGGATTTCTTTCATTCTAAGGGCTGAAAATGCTTTATACTAGGTGTCAACACCCCATGTGCCCCAGATAGCCTTAGTGGGAATAGCTGTAGATAACACTAAGTATCACCTAGTCCCCAAATTACTTACTGGCATGGGCACTCTCAACTAAAGATTATCTTTCCTTAAAATTTATTAAAAATTGGGCTGGGGACGTGGCTCAAGTGGTAGCACGCTCGCCTGGCATGTGTGTGGCCCGGGTTCGATCCTCAGCACCACATACAAACAAAGATGTTGTGTCCGCCGATAACTAAAAAATAAATATTAAAATTCTCTCTCTCTCTCTCTTTAAAAAAAAAAAGTTTACATGTGCATGCTGGCAAGATGGTGGAGACTCTGGTTGGGGAAAGGGTGCCCATGAGAATGAAGGGAATATCCTGAGTGTGCCACAGAAATTTGGTGGAAAAGTTAGTTTCATTCCAAATCAACCCAGGAGAGACTCAACTCATTGAAATTACTGAATGTTGGAGCTGAAAAGAATTTCGATGTCATATAATCCATGGTCTTTCCCCCACTGCTATACAAATGATGAAACAGCTCAGAGAATTCAAGTGACTTTCCAAAGGTCRCATAACTGCTGAATGACAGGGCCAGGTTCAGAACCCAGTGCTCTGACATCTATCCAAAAATTCCCAGGCCCCTGCACCAGAGCCACATGGTCTTGATCTCTTCTGCTTGAAGATTCTTTCCTTGCTATCGTGGGAACTAGTGACTGCTGCATTCCTAGGTTTCTGCCACTTCTGTTACTGCCTGGAACTAACCTCAAGAGAAACCAAGGTACAGGGAAATGGAATAGATTGTGCTGAGTAGGTTTGGTGGGGAGTTTAGTGGGGAAGAGGGAAGGAAAAAAGGATAGAAGTTTTGTATAACTACTCAATAATTCAAAGGCTGTCATCCCTCTACCCATCCCCTGACCCCCCAACTTTGAGGGGCCTCTAAGTTCTCTCTAGAGGAAACTAGATCCAGGGAATTAACTGTCACTCTTCTGACTGATCGCCTAACACTTTACCTGGGGACAGGGTGTTATTGGAGGCAGCTGCTTGGCAGGGAGCTGTCTCTCCMGCATAGGTTGTCAGTTTTTCGATGGCCTGAACTTCTCATAGGCACTGACATAGCATTTCACTGTTAAGGATAAAAGCCAGACAGCACAAGATGATTTCCATATTTATATGCACTTTTCACATAGTGGAGAAGTTGTAGAAGAACTAACTATAGAATATCTATAAAATGGGGCTGGGGATATAGCTCAGTTGGTAGGGYACTTGCCTCACATGCACAAGGACTGGGTTTAATCACAAGAAAAACAAAACAAAACAAACAAAACCAGGAGAGCTGTAAAAGACCCTCCTGGGTGAGAGCAACCTTCAACTTTGCTAGTAGTGAAACATCCTAGTAAATGCCAAATACCTTTTAATATCCTGTGCCAAAACTATTACCATCAAGATAATTGTTTGGGGGGATGCGGTTGTGGCTCAGAGGTAGACCACTTGCCTAGCATGCATGAGGCACTGGATTTGATTCTCAGCACTGTGTAAAAATTAAATAAAGGTATTGTGTCCACCCACAGATTAAAAATAAATGATAAAAAAAGAAGAAAAGCCAAAGCAGGCTTTTTAGAAAGGTCCCTGTTTCATGCTTACCCTTAGAACAAATGAGATAACAGTCCCCCAAGGCCTGTGTTTTAGGGGGAGTCTCAAGGGAGAAGTTTACAGGGACTAGAGGGAGAGGAGAAAAGGAATGGATAAAGGAGCAGTGGTAGAAAGTGTTCCAATCCTTTTGAGATTGAAACAATTTGGAGACGCATCCCTGGAAGTAAACAGGAAAAGGGTATTGTCTGGGAGAGAGACAATCTGAATAGCAAAGTGTTAGGAACAGGGATGCTGGAGCAGGCTGCCTGCTTGGAACTTACCACACCTCTTAGAGGCAAGTCGCTTGACCTTTTATACTGCAGTCTCCTCATCTGTAAAATGGGCACAATGCAGTAATTATCTCACAGAATTATTTTAGGACTAAAATAACTATTCTCAGTAAACCATCAAGAAGCCTGCCGGATGAAGAGAAATTCCTATATGAATATCAACCTTTATTACTTGGAGTGAGTGAAATAAAGTCCCCCCCCCAGGGTGGGATATAATATCTTTTGTTTCCTTCACTTCTTCCCTTGATTTATTCTGTATTCTTATACTTTCTGTTTTCTGCCTCAGGTTTCTCATTTATAAAGTGTGGAGCTCTCATCACCAGCCCACCTTATTAGTAAAGGAGGAAAAATTCTTCAGAGTTATTGTCAGTGGTCACAAATAGCACACTAGACACTAACATAATCTTTTTCATTTTGGGGGGCTGGTGATATTAATGAATTAGTTTATTAATGAATTAGATACCTCTGAGTATCTTGTAGATTCCACAATCTAGAATCGYCCTTTGGCTGACTCCTTTTCTATCCCTCAGCCCATGGCCAGGCACCTAGACCATCCTAGAGATGGCACGCCTTTTGTTTTCTGGGAATGGAGATCCCATGATTTATCTCCACAATCCTCCTTAATCCCGTCCTAGATCCCATGGAGAAACTCTTATAAAACCTATCCTTCTCCCTGCCTCTTGCTGCCCTTTTTCTTGTTATGCATGTCTCAGGTACATCTATTCCCCATCCCCAGCTCAGTTTCTTCCTTTAATCTAGAGAAAAGCGAGGATAGCTGGTGGTGAGATAGAGTGAGGACAGGTGTGCCACAGGGACCTACTACTGTTCAGGGGGCGGCTCTCATTCTCATCCCTGGTTATCTCTGGATAGTGAATGACTCTTTGGGGCTGCTGGAAGGACGCTTTGCTGGCAGGATTGGAAACTAATCAACTAGACGGTCCATGAGATAATCTGGCTGAATTTTCCCACGCCAAACCAGATTGCAAAGCGCCTCCTCGGGTCTAGAAGCAAAGGCAGCGGGAACTGTCTTGCCTCTCGGTTTCAGAAAGAGCATGTCTCAGACTCAACCCCACCGCGGGACTGCACTCCCAGCGCTGGTGCGCCCAGGGCGCAGCAGGGAGAGCAACAGCTCAGACTTGCGCTGCTCAAGGCCGGTGACTCGGGAGGGGGGAGGGGGAGGCGGAGGCGGCAGCAGGCAAGGGGCGGGCACGTCCAGACAGAGCTGAGCCGTGATGGAATTAGCCCCGTGGCGGTATAAGCCTGTCCAGAAGCCAACGCGGTCGCGGGGCAGTCGGGTTTTGCCTCCCATGAKTCCGCGCCATGGCTACCCCGGGGCTGCGCGGTGAGTTTCCCCAGCCGGGGACCCTGGTCTTGAGTATTCAGTGTGTTCTAGGAGAGAGGGGGCGAAGGAGACGGCATTTAACTCAGCCTTCGGAATTGGTTACCTCAAGAGAATCTGTACACGGTGGTGCGAGAAACCTAACCCCTTTCCTCCCAAGCAGGGAAGATGAGGGGCACCTGAACAATTCCCKAGACTCACGCCCATCAAGGAGAGGGAAGGGAGATCAGGAGGCAGGGGACTGGTGTGGCCACCTCACAGGGATTTCCCCCCCCCCCCATTCCTATCTCAATAATTTTGCCTCTGTTTGTTACAGTTCTTGGGACGTTTGCTTAGAGAGTCTGAGGGAAGTAAACTGCTAGCCAGGCTTAATTCAGTAGCAGACTGGTGAAGATAGAGCATCCCCAGAGTGGCCTCACAGATCCAGTCCTTAGTCAAACCCACCTTTATAAAGGGCTTCAATATTAGTCATTTTACACCAGGCGTGGGAAAACACAGGAATTGCTTGCCCAGGGATGTTTCTTGTAAGAAAAGTAGATTGTAGTAAATATGGAGATAAAGATGTTACTTTGCACCTTCAAAATTATAGTGAATAGACAGATGCATCTGGGCAGGGCTAAACTTACCTGGAGTGAGATTTTATTGGGTGTCTTGTTTCTGATAATTCTTGAGAAAGCCATGAAGTAGGGAGATGCTCACTATTTTGGCATGGACAATGAACCGAGGATAGGTGTCAGTGGTAGTCTTGATGCTTTTGTTTGCATTGCATAGGTCATACTCCTAGGGACCATGTGGACCCTGGCCTGGGGCAGGAGGTCCCATTGAACCAGGTAAAGATCTCAGCCCAAAGGCAAGTGGTGGAGTGAGGGTATCAGGCAAGGTGAGAGAGCTCTTCCAGATTATTCTGATACTCTTGGTCTCTCCACCTGTCT